CAGCAAAAGTAGCCAGACCAACCTTTTTCCACAAGTTGCATGAGTTACTGAGAAAAAAACAGGAAAGAGGTTAAATCAGGAGGTTTTCTTTTACTCAGCCATCTTTGAACTCTTGTCTGCTCCCAGTAGACTCCAGTAAAGGAGAAGAGGCTGAATGGTATCCTTTCTAATTCCCCTCCATCACAGCTTTAGGGATAAACTGGGTTCTGTGCTAACACAGCATTGTAAGACAAGCACACTAAAAGTGTGTTTGGAGCTCAGGTGCATTCAATGATGAAATGTTTGCCAGATATCTGTTATTTTCTTTTCTTTTATCTTCACTTTCTTTTAGATGCAAATTCAAGTCATGCCTGAAAGGAACTGGATAAATACTTAGACTTGGGGTTAATATTTTAAAAAGTCAGAGTAAGTAAGTAAAGATGACAGAACGAAGAAGGGCAAAGCACGTCAGCAGCATAGAAAACTAAATATTTTTATGTTCAATTATGACATTCACAAGTGCTTTTGGGATCGCTGGATATTTTAGGATCTGTGTAATAGAATTATTTAGCTAAAACAACGTTGTGCTTTAAAGGCACACTTGGCAGTTTTGGCTTGCTTTTAGCACCCCCTAGTGTTTGTTTAATAGAACTGATCTTTCTCATTGCTGTGCATTCGTCTTTTTAACACTTTAATCTAACTGCTGAAATGTCTCCCCAGCCTTCATTAGTGTCTACAGGAGCAATTTAATGCTAAATTAAACAAATCAGCTCTGTTCACAATGTAAAACATGCAAGGAACGTGCTGGAAGCAGACTGCAGTGCCATGTATGTCAGCTGAAGTTGCAAGTGAAATTTAGAGGGGGCGAAAGGGGCCTGAGTGACATTTCATTTACCCTGTAAAGCTGCACGTTTTAGTTTTAACCCCGCTTCAACACACCTGATTTCAATCAGCAGGTAGTTAACTCATTCACTGCCAGCTGTAACGTCCAGCAACGGTCAGTTTTAGGTACAGTTTGACCATTCAACATCTATTCAACATCTGGTCAAAAAGGAGACACAAGACTGCATGTGTTCTAGGGCTGCAGCTATCGAATATTTTTGTAATCGAGTACTCTATCGAATCTTTTTTTCGATTAATCGAGTACTCTAATAAATTACCCTTTTGTGTTTTTAAACCATTATATCAAATAGCATGTTATAAAATATGAAAGACCTCTTAAAATTAGAAAGCAATTGCCAGCTATTCTTCAAGTTTTATTCAAAATTAATTTTCAAAACTTCAGCACTTCAACTTTACTTCACAGTAAACAAATGCCTGTGCAAAAAATAAGTATACAACCTGAGCCGATTTTCCCCTCGTGGGACAATCTGCTAACCTGCAAGCCAGACAAAAACTAGGAGGATAACTGTTGAAGTAGCGCTGCGAGCGGCTGCGGCCCAAACAGAACCAGAACCGCTCATGGCGCATGCGCAAACAGCTCGCCGGCTGTTTCCCTATTAACACACGTCCGTTTTAATTTCTACACTCTTTTTCTCACACACTAACAAGGATTGTCAAGAAAGCATGTTTGCCGTGGTTATGTCAAATTATACTGATCACAAAACATTTATTTACTTTCTTTCATTTTCCTCCACCACTCATAAATACCCGTGTCCTCCTGCAGCAATCCCGAGGGACAACGGACATCAATAACAACACAATAAAAAGTCCGACATATTGTGTAAAAACTGCTATTTTTTAGCACATTTTGAGTCCGATGTGTTGCTACCAGATGCACAGTGTGAGCTGAAACTGAGTGCTACAAACGAAAAAGTCGCACAGTGTCCACAGAATATATAGAAATACAGGCTAAAATGCATTATCTTGTAGAGGCTCCGAGTCCGCTTGCAGACAGGTGCTGCAGCATGGAGGATGTGGTGTTGTGGTAGGCTAAATCCATTTTACAGTATTTATACTGGACTACGTTTTCCACCTTACGACGTGAAAAATCGTCCCACAACTTTGACATTTTGTGTCTTTTTCGCGCTCCACCGGGGTTCAAATTGTCCGCCATGGCTTAAGAGAAAGTTAAGTTACATTCGCTACCCGCATGTGCATTCAGTCCAGTGGGCATGTGCATCACTTATTTCAGTCCGGGTGAAACATGACCCCGGGCGATTGCAAAGCCATGAATTAATTAAATATGAATTAAACGAATCCTCTAGGCAGAGAATTTGACTCGAGGCTTTTTTGTACTCGAATTATTCGAGGTACTCGAGGAATCGTTTCAGCCCTAATGTGTTCCCTTTAAATTGGCCTGCCTCCACCCCACCAGCTGGAGCTCAGAGCCTGCAGCTCTGAACAGATAACGAAATGCCAACAATAACGTTTTCTCCTCAAGGTCCAATCTTTCAGGTCTTCATGCCTCCATATAAGGAACACTCCAGCTCGGATAAGTTGCTAAATCAGATATGAACTTCTACAACTTACAAGCTAGATAATCATTAAATAAATGTTTGTTTATTGCTACTTATAATAATTATTGTATAATGAAATGTTTCGTTAATCTGTGCTCAATAATTGAAGTGTGAAATGAATGTTATTTTATGTTGTTTACATGGCAAGGTCATCACCATTTGCACTCACACAAGCTCAAGTAAGGTTAAGTTGAACTTGTGACACATAAATAGTCTTTTACCCTAGTAAGAGCCTCTGTATCAAAGAAGATGTGTTTCTGAGGTTGTCTTGGTAACCATTCCTCAACTTGTCAACCTTTGGTTGGCTACACAAATCATAACATGAGAACATCAAAACTGGATCCCTCTCGGGTGATCTCTCAGTTCTAAAGAAAGTTTCAGACTGGCCATCTGAAGAAGCAAAGCCTCTTTAACCCATCAAAGCTTTTGACACGTCGTCAAAATCTTTTTGCACCTGCAAAGCTGATACCGCAAAAGTTCCTGCAGAACAAGCTGGTATTGTTTAGACTCCTTAAGAGCCCCAGACGCACGGTTCCATCCGTCTGTTGTGACCTGGAGACAACTCTAATGGGCCATTCCCATCTGTACCGAGTCGGCCCGGGCCGGGTAGCCCCAGTCGGCCCCAGCCTGGCCCGGTTGATTCCACACATCCTTGTCTTAAGCCCATGTGGGCTGATTCTACCCACCAATCAGAGGCTTGCTCTAATGGAAGGTGTGAATTTGCTGTCAGCAGTGGGTGTGTTGGCCCTGGTCGGCCTGAAGCAGACCCCCTCGAGAAGAGGGCTGAGAATGAGCCTTGGTTGGCCCGGAAAAATACCAGGCCACCCAGATATGTAAACAACCTACGCTACCCGGCCCGGGCCGACCCGGTACAGATGGGAATGGTCCATAAGACCGGTTTAGTGGGGCCGCAATTTCTTCTACGGACCTCCGTGCCTGGAAGTCCGAGGACTTCTACATTCCGGATCTACCAAGAGGGTCTTTGAGTGAGTACGTAGACATGACAGATTGCGTCTGATGTGTTTTGATAACGACCACCTTCATAGCTCAACGCAAACCAAATTCTTTTACATCCAGAACTCAGCTCTCCTAGATAAGGAAGTTCTGACTAACATCTCATTGACACATAGGTTCATACATCACATTTAGTTCCATCCATCACAGTAAACGCTTAGTTAACTTGTCATGTTTTAATTGTTTGTAAAATAAATTCTTACTTTTATAAACCTGACTCTTTCCTGAATCAGAATGAAGTGTGTACAATTCCTTAATAAAGAAAGAATCCTAGATCTTCTGATAAACACAGTAAAGACCAAGCAGAGTTGATATTCTATATTTAGATAGAGTATCACAGCTTATTGGTCATAAGTAGAGGTAATATATTTATTGAGCTCTTAAAGCACCCAATTTCCTAAACCCTACAGCCGTTTCCTAATCAGTAAAGCCCTTGGCTACCAGTGTTTTTCAGTGTTTGTACAGCTTTTTTTTAAGAGTCACAGACCGTTGCGCGGTAGGATGATGTTGGTGCCAAAACTACCAAAACAAAGAGTAGACTTATCTCTTACATCAGGAAGAATCTGCAATGTTACAAAAAGGTAGTAAAAGTACAAAATTGAAGTTTGATTTTACAAAATAAAAAATACATGTACAAAATGAAAATTTCCTGTTACAAAACAAGAAATACATGTACGAATTGAGAATTACAAGTTAGAAAACTAAAGTTACAAGGTACGAATCCAAAGTTACATGTCATGAAACATGTTCCAAGTTACAAAACTTGGTACGAGTTACATTGAATATTGTCCAAATCCTAGCCCCATACTGTGTCTGCATCAGACTATGACATCACCTAAGTGGTTGGTTAGCTTGTTTTAAATTAAGATTTTACAGAATAAATCGTTATTGTCTTTATCACTGTTACCAGGAACAACGAAATTATGAAAGTGCAGTAGACTCACAAGCGTACAACAAAAGAGATAAAAACAGGATAAAATCATACAGATTGCACATATTATGGAAAAATATTGCTCTAACCTCTGTACAGTTGCCCTGTGGTCAATATGCCCACACACAGCATTCTTCTGTACTTGTAGGCAAGCAGCAACAAAGGCAGGTTTTGTAGTTAGTTGGGGTGCAGATGTTCAAGAACAATCCACATGTTTTTTTTTTCTGTACGGTTTTAGCAATCTGCCTCTTCCCTCTCATTGCATAAGGCCTTTCTTTCATACTTTCACAATCGTTCAGTCATTCAGATGACCTGCATTCATCAGCTTAAACTACACTCTGCTAAAATAGACCATTCTGTGCCAAACTCTTCACAATTTCCCTATCAATCTTCTGACAAAACTATTATTGGTTATTCAAAAGGAAAAAGCAGCAAAATCATTGTTTTGTTCCAACCAAATTGCTGCAACAGATATTGGGAAGAAATAGTGAGAAGTGTTGTTTTCATGTGAACAATTGTAGCTGTTATTTTGGCCCTGGGGCATATTGAATGTATGGATGCTTGGGTTTGCTAAACATATAAATCTATTGCTTTCCTTGCACTGTGCTCCTCTGCAGCGACGGATGGGCGGACAGGTATGATGTGACAGATGGCTATGTCAGGGAAGCGGCCGGGGGTATTACCATCAAGCTGCAGTCAGCTGACGTGAAATGGTTTGATGATTACTACCTTAAGCTCCGTCCTGAAAACAACCACAGGAACCCTTGGTTTACAGAGTTCTGGCAGCACCGTTTTCACTGTCGACTGAAAGGTCATCCAGGGGAGAGCAGCAAGTACAACCGCACTTGTGGAAGTAAGTGGAGACAGAAATAAAAACACAGCAAGAGAACAATCTATAGTTGCTGTAATTAAACCAGTTTTGTTTCCATGACCGAATCAATGGCTACGTTAGGGTTGGAACCAGTGCTTAATTTCTAAATGAAACATTCCCAGAACGCAAATAGTGACGTCAAACCAAAGTTCACTAAAGGCAAAACAGATGCTGGAACGGGCACGGGGGGTTCTGTTGACTTGCTGGAGTTTTTGACAATTAAAAATTGCGCCCACATTTTCTAAGTTAACACACCTATCTTTCAAAAACGGTAGTTTTTGCATCTTTACTCTTCCCCTGCTTAGCGGCACAAACTCCCTGATGTGCCTGAAGCCTCTCAGAGTCCCTGCTGCTCTAAACATTGAAAGTATAATTTCATTTTCTGTTCCTCATTTCTTATTACCTTCAATGGTGTCTGTTTGTTGCAACCACCAGGTACAAAACAAATTTGTTTTTATTTGACTTTTTTTCTGTCCTGCCTGTTTATTATCTTCCTGTATCTCCTCTCAATCCTAAAGAAAAACTGCTACCTGGCTTCATATTTATTCACCTCATGAGTTACCTTAGAACTGTAGTTCAAAAAGATCTACAGACCGCAAAAACAGCGGAGTGCACGCTGCGCGCCGGCTGCACCGGTAAGGTGAAATCGCCGGAGGACAAAACAGGTGATACGCTCTGCTCCGCAGCAGCAAAACACATCAGGGACAAAAAAAGAAAGCATGAAAGGATATGAGCTGACATAAACGATTGCGTGTTAAATTTGTTTTTGAGGTGGCGACACTTTGAGAATGTTACTGTGGCCGTGCTCAGGACGTATCTGTTTGGAGTGCATAAGAGCTCTGCGCCTCTCAGCTCTAAATAATCCCTGGAGAGTCCACATAGATAATGTAATATAAGTAGAACCAGAATCGTTTTCGGGCTCCCCCTGGGTGTGAGGGCTTCCAGGGGAGCCTGTCATCCTTTGGGGTGAGCCGGGATCCCTTTAGCTCACCCGTAATTCGAACCCTGCGTATAGCACAAGTTGGTCGCGTGAGTTGCCGGATCCTAGCAGACAGTTGCTGGAACGGTCCTTTCAAAATAAGACAGTTCCCGGATCTTGTTCTGGCAAGATCTGGCTGAAATTAAGCACTGGTTGCAACGTTTCTGTTCTACGTGGAGGGTTAGGGTTAGCGTGGAAGGGTTAGGGTTTTTTTATGCCATTGTGATTGTATGTTTGATTTGGACCATCATAAAAAGCAACAGTACACGTTTGCATTTCACTGACTAGCTTATAATCACCACTAATAATGCAAAATATACATATGTATACATACATAGAACATATGGGTGCATGTGGCTTTACGGTTCATTCAGAGAGTGAACTCTCACTTGATTTTTACATTTTTCATTCAGTCTATTCTCCTTCACTCGCTCTATTCATAGACTAAACAGTGTGTGAGTGTGGCATCAAAGGGAGTCATTTCATATTTATTCTAATGAAATGGGACATGAAATACAAAAGGAACAGGACAGAAAAGGAAAGAAATGATATGCAGAGGTGGGAAGGAGAAAAGGAAAGTAACCCTTGATGTCAGCAATGAAAAAGAACAATGTTGTTTCTATTCTATATCTAATTTTCATTTCTCACTAACTCTGCCTGCCTACCTCTACAGAGCGGGAGTCCCTTCGCCAGCAGTATGCCCAGGACACCAAGATGGGGTTTGTTATAAATGCAATCTACTCCATGGCATACGGCCTGCATAACATGCAGCGTTCTCTTTGTCCGGGCTATCAGGTACGTCCTTGGGAAACATGGGAGGGGGCAGCAAAGAAGCTATTTGCACTGAGAACCATTATGTTACAAAGAAGAGCTGATTTGTCACTTTGAGTGATTTCTCATCAGGGGTGTTAATTTTTATGTTCTTTTGGTCCATGGGGAATTAATTATTCAGATGTTGGTAAGAGAAAGTCTCCTTACTCCTTATGAGATGTTTAAGCTGCAGCTGTTTCACACCTGCTTAGATTCTATCAAAACCTGGATGGCTGGGAGCTTTCTTCAGCTGAATGAAGATAAGACTGAGATCCTCATCTGTGCCCCAGACAAGCTGGTTCCCAAAGTCAGAGACTCTCTTGGTCAGCTTGCTTCTCACACCAAACCTTCCGTCAGGAATCTTGGTGTGACCTTTGACCCAGCTCTCAACCTGGATTCTCATGTCAGTTCTCTTGTTCGCTCTTCCCTCTTCCATCTCAGGAACATTGCTAAGCTGAGTCCCATTCTGTCCCGCTCTGAACTTGAGACTGTTCTCCACACCTTCATCTCCTCACACTTAGACTGCTGTAACTCTCTTTTCACGTGTCTGAGCAGAACCTCCCTGAACCGTCTACAGGTGGTTCAGAATGCCTGTGCTCGGCTTCTGACCAAGTCCTCCAAACACACCCACATCACCCCGCTTCTCCTCCAGCTTCACTGGCTGCCAGTCAACTTCAGGGTTCATTTCAAGATCCTGGTTCTGGTCTATAGGGCCTTACATGGACAAGCACCATCTTACATTGGTGATCTTCTTAGTCCCTACACCCCCAGCAGGTCCCTGAGGTCCAGTGACCAAAGCCTACTGGTTGTGCAGCGCACCAGGCTAAAGACCAAAGGTGACAGATCATTTGCTGCTGTGGCCCCCAGACTCTGGAACTCTCTCCCCCTGAGCCTGAGATCAGTGGACTCAGTGGTCTCCTTTAAAAAAGCAGCTGAAGACTCACTTGTTCAAGCTGGCTTTTGTATGACCTTCTTCACCACTCTCTATTCTGCTCTCCCCACCTATTTCACCTTCCTCAGGATCCACTGGTTTCCCTCTTTCCTATTCACTCTCTCTCTTTTTAACATTTTTTAATCACAATTGTCTATTTTCGCTCATTTTAAATATATTTTTAAACATTTTCTAAATGCTTTTTTATATTTTTACATTTTTTGTTTTTTGTTTTTGTGAAGCGCCTCGTGATTTTTATCTTGAGAGGCGCTATAGAAATGATATTTTCTTCTTCTTCTTCTTCTACTCAGAGTCATGTTGTTTTTCTTCTGCTTTTCTCTGTCTTTTTGGTCTGGTAAATATATCCCCTTTCACACCAGGGCCCAGGTAGGGAATGAAGTGGTAGCCTGTTTTTTTCCCCCGTGCATAACCAGTCGTTTTTCAGCCCACTTCCCAAGGCGGTCTGCTTCAGGCCGACTGATTGACCTGCTCAAATTCACGCCTACCATTAGGGGGAGCCTCCGATTGGTGGGTAGAATCAGCCAGCGGGGGTGTATCGCAATGCATTATCTTTCTGGATCCTGTGGAGTAAACAACACCTCCGACTGAAGCCATGTCTCTCTGAGGAGCTTTTACACACAATACACACACACACACACACACACACACACACACACACACACACACACACACACACACACAGTGCCCAGGCATCAGCTGCCCCGCGGGAGGACAGTTACTGCAGTCTGGATGCAGTATCAGAGCAGAGTCTCTAAAAGCAGCACTGCTCATGGCCACCTTTGTTTAGTTTAATGGAGACACCACAGACTTTTGCCCCATCCACGTGTTCTGAGATTTCCACATTCCTGATAAGTGTGTGTGACCAAACCCTACCGGTGCGGGATCCAGTTCCATGCCATCCAGCCCAGACCGGACTGGGCCAGATGTGGAAGCGGCATATGACATCCTGATTTTAAATGATGGATGAGCCCTCCGCGCCATCACCCGTGGGTTTTTGAAGAGCTGAATTGAAGACCTGGTGAGCGGTACCCACCAGCTGGGCTGTGAAGTTGGGGGCAGATGATTGACACACATCCATTTCTGACCCAATGTAGTTATGGGCTAACTGAGCTAACTGCAGCTAATGGAGATTAGCCACAAAAGAGCACTTGAGTTGAGTAATTCTGCTACCCTCTGTGTTCTAGGTCATAACAATTACTCATAATTTCCAGTGCTGGTGAAGGTTCTCAGTCATCCAGGCCATGGTAATCCAAAGGGGTTGGAATGAAGGCAACTGCACTTCATTGGTTTCTTGGCAACGTTTCACTTCTGGTCCGAGGTGCTTTGTTAATTTTGACCTGTAATATGGGAGAATCAAGCTTATAAACCGTAGCTTTTTATTGTTGCTTAACCAGCGGAAACTACCTCCTCCCTACCCCTGAGAGTTGTTGATGTCATCTTTAAGAGCCTAAAGAAGTCCAGTTGCATTTATTCAACCCCCTTTGGATCATAATTTAAAGCTTTAATTACATCTAAATGGAAGAGTTACAAAAACACTCACCCGCCTCAGCAATGTCATGACGATAAACTAGATCGAATAAACCTAAATTAGTTTGTTGAACCAGGCTGTAAACATGTTTATTTCTGCTGTGAATTTGGCATTTTAAACAAAGGAGTCAGTGGAAGCTTGCTCCTTCCTGGAGCCAGCCCCTAGTGGATGTAGGGGGAACTGCAATTTTGGTCACTTCTGCATTGGCAGGTGGAGCTTCACCCGTGGTGGGTGCTGCAGCGCTCTCTCTATAATGTGGAGTGCACACCATTTCAGCAATAGATGATCTTTAACAAACACCACATATCTTTTTTCCCCTGTTTTCAGTTTTTTTGGATTCGTGTAGTTCTTCCTGCAGTGTTTGCCGCTTGCTGCTGCTTGTTAGTTCATAAAGCACATATTAGCTTTTTATCATGGAATTAGCTGTAATTGGTCAGTTAATGTTTTAAAATAACCATTATTGTTTGCATGAATGTAGGAAGGACAGCTCTACTGCACAGATTCTGGTTCCAATGCACCACCTGCAAATAGGATAGATGGATGTTGTAGTTTTAGTCAAGTGCATGGTCTGTTTTAAGCTGTATAGTTTTATAAAGTGGAAACTGATATGTTAGGAATTGTTTTAAAAAAGTGATTATTTTCTGAGGTTACCACATGATGGTGATTATAATTCTGCATTTGTTTGAATGGTCTGGATTTATCAGATTGTGGACCTAAATAAGTACATTTTCTATCTAATAGTAAATAAAGGCTTTTGTATTGATCTCCTGAAGGTGTGATTAGTCCCACACTTCCTGATTACAGCTACTATTATATTATTTCTGCAAAGTGGTTTAGAGTGCTCTACAGTCCTCGTTGATTATTTCCTCTGCAGATTTTCCACCATTGGTTTATTCCTTATTTGTATGCAGTTTTCTGCTGTAAATGTGAAGACTAGTTAGATTTTCAAATGTAACCAGTGACTGGCTTGTTGATTTAGTTCCACAAAACCAGATGAATCTCTTAAACACAAAACACAGATCTTATTTTGTTTTATATTTCACTGAAAAGCAGAATCTTGACTATTTCTGTGCCTCTGTCAGTGCGCCCCAGGGCAGCTGTAGCTACATCGTAGCTCATCACCATCAGTGTGTGAATGTGTGTGTGAATGGATGAATGATACACTGTAGTGTAAAGCGCTTTGGAGTCCTTACTCTGAGAGGCGCTACACAAGTGCGGGTCATTTATCATTTTTCATTCTGTTCATTGGAAATGGCCAGATTTATTTAGAGATCCACATACTGTTATTACCATTGTTGACCTGAACCATAACTGTACAAAAAATGACTGGATTCTAGTGAGACTATGTAAAATACTATATTCAGTGCGAGAGAAACAGAATATTAAATATAGTTTTTACTTATAATGTCTAAACTCAGTCAGTGAAACGGTGAAATGTGAAGAAATTAACAAATTTTGCTATAAGAACAACTTGTTTTACACCTCTGGGAACATACTTAACTAAATCCTTCTGGTCCACCAATTTTAACAACACTTGTGCTTCATTCGAACTTACATTTTAACATGTTTTACCTGTTCAATCACATAAAATTAAACTAACACAACTAAAATCCATTTTTAGGGCCTTTGTGATGCCATGCGACCAATAGATGGTGCAAGGCTGCTGGACTTCCTGATGAAAACCAACTTCACAGGCGTATCAGGAGAGGGGATCTTATTTGATGAAAACGGAGACTCGCCTGGAAGGTAGGCACTATTTTGAGGCAGGACACTCAGAGATGTTTGAACTGGTGACTTCCTGTGTGATGTCCACCTATCGTTTATGGACAGGTATGAAATCATGAACTTCAAAAAGATGGGGAAGGACTACTATGACTACATAAACGTTGGCAGTTGGGACAACAGTGGCTTGAAGATAGATGATGATGAGATCTGGGCTAGCAAAGACACCATCATTAAGTCAGTCTGCAGTGAGCCCTGTGACAAAGGTCAGATTAAGGTAATCTGACACAGATTAAGTCTTTTATTTATTTATTTACATCTTTACATACAATTTCTACCACTGATATTAAAATGAGCTATTTTAGATTTTTAGTTTATTTTATTTCTCCCACTTTTTTAATTTTATTGTAAATAAATTGATATGAAATAAAAAGAATGTTAAGTTTACATCCTCCCGCTGGTAATTCCTCTATGATGCCTCATTCTGTCAAAGTTCAAAGGGATTAGTTCTTTCTGCTTGACTTCTGGTTCCTATCATCTGCCATGTCAGCAAGAACAGATCCTTCTGTCTTTGATACCTAAACATAAAAACGTGAACCTATCCAATCACACTAACTGCTTACTGCACCCCCTACAGGTGATCCGTAAGGGAGAAGTGAGCTGCTGCTGGACGTGCACTCCCTGCAAGGAAAATGAATTTGTGTTTGATGAATACACCTGCCGTGCCTGTGAGCTAGGCTCCTGGCCTACTGATGACCTTACAGGTCAGTCTCTGTATATTTGTAGGGTTTTATTTTCTTTTTTGTGTTTGCATGTTTGTTTTTGAAATCTTGGGTGGAACTACCATAACCCTCCCTCGGGTGACCCCTCCAGGATAGGGGATGGTTGAGCAGGGTTGATGGATTATCCCTCGGGATTCACGTGACAGGGGTGAGGTGGTGCTCACTCCTCAACAAAATTGAGAAAAGAAAAAAAGAAACACCTGCATTATGAACGTGGGTGGTTGACAAAAAAGGAAAAGAAATAACTAACAGTGCGTTTCAACCAAAACTCTAAACAGAGGGCTTGCAGCAGCAGGATTAGTCAAGGAACTGAGAAAAGGCAAGCAAAAACTCGATACAGCACAAGTGGATACTGTCCACCCCACCGGGACTGCAAGGGGCAACATTTGGGCCAAGACTCTTCAAATGAAGAAGAGGAAATGATCTTTCATTTCAAGATAAAGTCACGAGGCGCTTCGTAATTACATGTGAAGTACAGGAACATGTTCGAAGTTCTGTCGGAGGTGGGAATTGAAGCTCCTTCTGATAAGAGACTCTGCCAGACGTTCCCAGCAGACCCTTGCAATACGTTTGGGCCTGCCAGGTCTGAACAGCATCCTCCCCCACCATCGGAGTCAACTCACCACCAGGTAGTGGTCAGTTGACAGCTCCGCCCCTCTCCTCACTCGAGTGTTCAAGACATGCGACCGCACATCAGACGAAACAACAACAAGTCGATCATCCAGCTGCAGCCTAAGGTATCCTGGTGTCAAGAGCACATATGGACACCTTTATGTCTGAACACGGTGTTCATTATGGACAATCCCTGACTAGCACAGAAGTCCAACAACAAAACACTGCTTCAATTCAGATCAGGGGGGCGTTCCTCCCCACCACACCTCTCCAGGTCTCACTGTCATTGCCCACATGAGCGTTAAAGTCCCCCAGCAGAACGAGGGAGTCACCGGAAGGAGCAATCTTCAGCAACGAGTGGTGAGCTCATGGAAAGGGGGACCCACGTCTCCTCTTTGGGCTGTGCCCGGCCGGGCTCCATGAGTAAAAGCCCGGCCACCAGGCGCTCACCAACGTGCCCCAACTCCAAGCCTGGCTCTTAGAGGGGGGGCCCCAGCGGCCCGCGTCCGGGTGAGGGAACACTGTTTCCATTTGTCTTGGTCATCATAAGGGGGTCTTTGGGCTGCACTTTGTCTGATCTCCCACCTAGGACCTGCTTGCCATAGGTGACCCTACCAAAGGCATAAAGCCTCAGACAACTTAGCTTCTAGGATCACTGGGACACCCAAACCCCTCCACCATGATAAGGTGGCAGCCAAGGGAGGGGCTAATAATAAAAATAATTTTAAAAATTAAAATATTTAAAAAAATGTTTAAAATATCACAAAAATTAGAATATTAATTAACTCACCACATCTGGATTAGCGAAAAAATTGGGAAAAAGTTATGAAAATTGGAAAGAAAAACACCTGGGTCAAAGCAGTATTCCAAAGTTTTAGCCTTTTTGGGAATTATGTATGAATATTTTTAGAAAACTATAAAAGTCTGATCCTGTGCTGTGATAATGTAGGCAATACATCTTTTTTTCTCTTTTGGTAAAGCCCCTCTCCATTAATTAAAACCCCAAACAATTAGAATAATGCTGCTCAGCATTAGCCAATAGCATTAGACATTCGCTTAAGATGTCCACCACAGAGCATGCACGTGTTTGTGGAAGTGTTACAGAGTTAGCAATAAACAGCACAACATGAGAATATTAATTGTAAAACATATTTTAGCTCTGTTGGCTGGCTAGAGGTGTATGTTCAGTGGTGGTTAGTAGATGTTGGTGGGTGCATTGGAGAAAGACTACTTGTAATGGCTCACTTCAACCAGAAGAAAGAAACCAGGATACTCTCTTGAAGCCAGGCCTAGAAGGGGAGCCTGCTGGTAATTGCGCAGTGGGTCCTGCCTGAAAAAGTCACAAGACTTCACCTCTAAGTGGAGCCTTCACCTGTGATAAAAGTGGTTTAGATCAAGTGGAATGTGTGCAGGTGAGGTAGAGGAACTGGGCATGCTGACGTATGGTGTCACCTAGCTGGTGGAAAAGTGGCTGCTTTCTTCAAATCAGGTAGAAAGATGTCCAGGTCCTCCTCCATAACCCAACTTAGGATAAGCCTGGGAAAAAATACATCGATGGATAAAGGGATAAAGAAGGCTGTATGATAAAGATGGGGGGAGTGTTAAAAATGAAATACAATTTGCTTTTACTGTTTATTTGAATTTCTGCACCAATTACACTATAAAAAGAGCTAAAGAGCTTTCTATTTCCCCTTCCCTCCCTTTCCCTCCCCCTCTCAACCCTGCTTCACCCCTTAATTTGTAACCAACATGGCCATGGGTGTGTTAATTATTCCGCGTCGAGAGAAGCTTTCAATTTTCAATTATATTTGCGGTAGAAATTTATTTCACCACTGTTGTGTCAGAAGCTCTGGGATATTGTCTTCTTGTGCTCTCAGCTGCTCATTATTCTGCTTGCGAGCTCCTCTGCAAGCTCAATGATTAAAACATGAATCGAGTCCTGCCGAAAATTCAAATGAAGTTTCACTGACACAGAAAGGAGCATCCTCCAAACAAAACACTGTGTAAACCGTTTGTCACAGTTCTAGACAGGACTGTTATTTAAAAAAACGAACGGCTGAGTTTAGGGTTGTCCAGATGTGTGTTTGCACATGAAACTGCACAGATGTGTCTCATTTTTAATTAAATCAGGAACCAAACCTTGATCAAGGTTACACAGAGCAGTCAAAGATTGTGCTTTCCCAGTTCCACCAGCAGACTTTTTAATCTTGTTGTGAAAAGAGAGAAACCTGACAGACGAGTAGAGGCAGAGAGGAGAGACGAGGCTGAGCACAGATCAGCTGACAGGGAATGAAGCCAACTAGGTGTGAAACAATAGAAATCTAGCTTTAGACACAGCAGTGGAGCGAAAATGGAAAAGGAGTACAAGATAAAGTAACTTAGAGGCCTCAAGTGGGTGGGGTTGGGTGGAGTAGAAGGAGAGATGTGGATAATGGCTCTGACATGAGAAACAAACAGGATAGTAAAAAAAGGATTTGTTTGTTTCAGTTAACCCCCTTCCCCATAATCCACCAGAGAAACATTTAAAAACACAATTTTCTTTTTGCTCTGAACTAATCAAAAATGTAATCGCTGATGGTTCACAATACTTTTTTTGCTCCTCTGGGAAAGCCCACCAGAATAAAACATTGCTCTAGGATTTTCTTCCACTCGTTCATTTATGTGGGAAGAGATATTTAAGGCTAAATTCTTAGGAAGTCTAAATTCCTACCTAAGATTTCCCCCCGTGGGTGGTCCTCACCCACACACAGTCGCACAGTTACTGTAATTCTCGACACACAGAAAGAGACTGTGGCTAAATATTGAAAAGACCACTATCACTTGTCTTGTTTCTAATTTTATATTCTGAGGTGGAAAAAAAAAGCAAAGGTAGATGTGCGATCATGCTGCGAAGCTGCTCTGCTTTGACAGTTTTCTGCGTGGTCAATATTCTGATATGTGCTGTAAAATATGTTTGACTACTGATGCTTGATAGGTTGTGAATGAAAAAGAAATGTATTTGAAAATCCTTCTTGTCTTTGTGAGTTTATGAAGTGGTGCTGCACAAGTGTGTGACACAAGCACATTTGTGCCAAATAGAGTCCAAAAATCCAGGAATAACTCTTTATTAACAGTATGTCCAGAATACCCAATTAGACCATTTTTGCCAGCAATAAGACTAGAGATAATTGGAACTGTCCCTTTAATTAATGAGATCATATTTCACTAAAGATGAGATGACAGAGATAGAGGGAGACAATTGGGGGACAAGGTGGGACAAAAAGATGTGAATAGATAAGGAAGATATTAGAGATATAAAAAGGATGGGATAATTGATGGATGTATTACAGGAAGACTCAAACAGAGGAGGCAGAGTCAGCTAAATCTTAAAAATTAGACAATGTATTGTAATTATTTCACAAGCCTTCTGCTTGTTTAGGCTTTTTCATGAATATAGTAAATAAAGAAATAAATCTTTACATTTGATTTGTTTATCCTCAGGCTGTGACCCAATACCAGTGGAGTACCTGCGGTGGGGAGACCCTGAACCCATTGCTGCTGTGGTTTTTGCCTGCCTTGGTCTAATGTCAACATTCTTCGTCACTGCAGTCTTCATCCAGTAAGAAACCTCTGATTATAAAAAATAAACAAACCAGTTTTGACCTATACAGGCTTAATATTTTTAAACTGCATTTACCTTGTTGTTGAATATATGCAGCTTGTTGTGTCTAATGTGGCAGACCAAAAGTCTGTCACCTCTGACCTGTCTATGTAAATGATGTTGTAATGGCCACAGAGAAAGGGCTCATTGTGAGAAAAGCTGGATTAGCAAGTCAACATTGGCTATAAAAGGGTCACGGTAATGCTACTAACCAGAGAATAATGCTAGTCTGAGCTACTGCTAATGCTAGCCTGAGCTGCTAACACCCTCGTTGGACAACAATGAGGCAACAATAGTAAGTAAGTAGTAAGTAAGTAAGGATAGGATAGGAAATAGGAAAACAACAAAGAATATTGGGGCACCACTTACTTCCCAAGATTTACTGGGAATATCCAGAATGTAAATGACTGCCAGATGGAGCCATAGCTTGTGGTCTTTGTCACATTGTCCCTCCTTTGTCCACACTGTCTCTACACCCTTGCACTGCATCCCCCACCCTGTGGACATCAGTCATTCATGGGTGATGCAAACCAGTCTTGTATAGAGCTCCGGACCCCACGTGACTCTCAGTTAGTGGACGCCATTTTGGCATGCAAAAAAGGTAAACAAACACGGATGTAACCATGAACATGAACGGGATCCGCTTGGATTTTACTTCGTCGGAGTTTACTTCACACTTTAAAACAGAAGAAATCGTTTTATATAGTCAGAAATTAAATAGACTAAACATCTCCGACCCTTACCGTGCCCCTGGGATACTTTTTAAAAACGCCAGAAGCTGTCGTAGCGGACTTCTTACCGGCACAACACCGGACCTGGCCGGGGAAACCCCTTGGGATTCCCCCGGCCGGAGGAGCTGGGGAGAGGTCTGGGACTCTCGACTCTACTGCCCGCTCCGACGCCAGAAGCTGTCGGAGCGGACTTCTTACCGGCACAACACTGGACCTGACCGGGGAACCCCTTGGGATTTACCCGGAGGAGCTGGCTCCGGCGGCTGGGGAGAGGGAAGTCACGCTACTGCCCCCGCAACCCGACTCCGGATACGCGGATGAAAATGGATGGATGGATGGACAAATAACAGATTTACACGTAAGTAGTCTCGGTGAGACAGATAATAGCAATCCAAAGTGCTTTTTATGTGTGATCTGACAATTGATCAACCATTGCTTATAAATTAAATACAGCTCATAAAACACGGAAACGGCAGCACGCAGAACTCACGAGGCAACGTTTTACGTGATGTTTACTTGCTGCTATGAGTAATAAGACAGAAAAAGCCACGCCAAAATAAGTTTAGGAAGCCCACTAAGAATCATAATAAAGCATTTAAAATAAATACCACACACAGTTGAGGAAACATTGGTTTAAGTACCTGATATGAAGTGGTCGCTGCATAAGCGAAAACCTTTACTCTCGGGGTCCCACAGCTTCATTTTCGCCCGGTCACTAGTGTGTTTTATTACAATGATCCAACGTTTGCGGCGCTCCGGATCTTGGGGAATCCTGTAGATGGCTCATTCCTTATGTCGTCCGCGTCTGTTCTGCATCCTGGGGCACAACAGGAATCTACCATATTTCCCGTTTGATTGAGTTTTCTGACAATAACAAATAGTCCAGCTGCCGGCTTCTGCATGCCAATATGGCGCCGTTTCAATTTGAACTGTTGCATGCCGGGAGAAGTGACGTCAACTCCCGGAGCTCTATTGCAGGGCTTTAATATGAAGTTGTCTTGGCCATTAATCAGGGCTCCTGGGCCCTTTTGAGCCCCAACAAAGTTCCGTAACCTATATAGTCTTATAAAACAGTTTCTAATAGTAAAATAAAATCCTTTCTGGGAAACCTTTCAGTAGGGTTGTGTGGAGTATAGCTGTCTCAATCGAAGGTGAAAGACAGGTTGCTTTTAAACACTCCACAAACCCGTACTTCAAAATCCTCGAAACCCTTTCATTTTCAGTGGGATTTTTTCTTGTGTTCACCAATACGTTCCGTTTATTTTGTGTATGTAAAGTTTTCGGGACACTCCTGTGGTGAAATCCTCCAGCAGGGAGCTGTGTTATATCATCCTAGCCGGGATCTGTCTGGGATACCTATGCACCTTTAGCCTCATAGCAAAACCTCACGTTATCCACTGCTACCTCCAACGTCTGGGAATCGGGCTGTCACCTGCCATGAGTTACTCTGCACTCGTCACCAAGGTGAGAACTAAATTGCATAAGGAGTTATGGAAGGATGTTAAGAAACCACAGCCATGATGTCCCTATTGGAATTTAATCAGTGTTCCTCATTGTTATGCTTAGATAATTACAGTAGACATGAAAGCAGATGGCTTGATAGTAGATGCAGTATGTCCTAATGATTGGTGTCTGACTCCAGACAAACCGCATTGCTCGGATCCTGGCAGGAAGTAAGAAGAAGATCTGTACAAAGAAGCCTCGCTTCATGTCTGCCTGTGCTCAGCTCATCATCGCCTTCCTCCTCATCCTGCTGCAGTTGGGAATCATTGTGGCTCTTTTCCTAATGGAGCCACCAGAGGTAAGCCCTCTGCGTGAGCCGATGCAGGGCGTAGGAACAGGTGGATGTTAATAAAAGAAATAAGCAGGCACAATGAATTAAAAAGGAGCACTATCATGTTTTCCTAAGCATGTTTTTGTTTGACATCTACATAAAATCATTTACAAGTCTAGAAACCGAAGTAGATTATTTTAGTTGGGGTTATTAAAGGTAATTTAAATCTAGTTGGGTATTATTCTGAGCAATGAGTGTCTTAAATTGGCTGTGTAATAACAATAATCATCATTAGCTTTGACAAATAGCTGAAACAATGAAGCATGATAAACTCTGAGCTATTGCTATGTCATGTCTTTATGTACAGGTGATCCATGACTACCCCAGCATCCGCCAGGTCAATCTCATCTGTAACACCACTAACCTCGGAGTGGTAGCCCCGCTGGGATACAATGGCCTGCTCATCCTCAGCTGCACCTTTTATGCCTTCAAGGTAGAAGTTTGATTATTTTTATCTGTAATTCCAGCGTCCTCCTTACTTAAATAAAAACTTATTGGGATAAAACGTTCTATTACAAAACATATTGCTGACTTACGTATGAACCAATCATGTCTGCAGCTATCAGGTAATTTTATTAGTCATTATTCAACATACAAATTGATCAATAATTGAACCGTCACCTTATAGTGGTGGAGGAGTTTGAGTGCCCTAATGATCCTAGGAGCTATGTTGTCTGGGGCACTTTGTGCCCCTGGTAGGGTCTCCCATGACAAATGGGTCTTAGGTGAAGGGTGAGACAAAGAACGGTTCAGAAGATCTTTCATGGACGTAAAAACAAAGAGTCGGAGTACCCGGCCCGGAGCCAAGCCCGGAGCCCGGAGCCAGGCCTGGGGTTGGGGCCCGTGTGCGAGCGCCTGGTGGCCGGGCTTTCGCCCATGGGGCCCGGCCGGGCACAGCCCGAACCGGGTACATGGGTTCATCCAACTGTCGAGCCACCACCCACAGGAGGAACATGAAGGGTCCGGTGCAGTGTGGATCGGGTGGCAGACCGAGGCGGGAGCCTTGGCGGTACGATCCCCGGACAAGGAAACTGGTTATTGGGACATGGAACGTCACCTCTCTGGCGGGGAAGGAACAGGAGCTTGTGGCAGAGGTTGAGCGGTACCGGCTAGATATAGTTGGACTCACCTCGACACATAGCATTGGCTCTGGAACCCAAGTTTTTGAGAGGGGTTGGACACTCTCCTTTGCTGGAGTTGCTCCAGATGAGAGGCGGAGGGCTGGGGTTGGCTTTTTGTTAGCCCCAAGACTCTCCGCTTGTGTGTTGGGGTTTACCCCGGGGGACGAGAGGGTAGCTTCCCTGCGCCTTCGGATTGGAGAACGGGTCCTGACAGTTGTTTGTGCTTATGTGCCAAATATCAGTTCAGATTACCCACCCTTCTTGGAGTCCGTGGACGAGTGCTAGATAGTGTTCCATCAGGGGACTCCATTGTCCTGCTGGGGGACTTCAATGCTCACATGGGCAATGACAGCATGACCTGGAGGGGTGTGATTGGGAGGAACGGCCCACCTGATCTGAACTCTGGTGGTGTTTCGTTATTGGACTTCTGTGCAAGCCGCAGTTTGGCCATGTTTGTTCAAAGATAAGGATACCCATCGGTACACTTGGTACCAGGGCAGCCTAGGTCGCAGGTCGATGATAGACTTTGTAGTCGTATCATCTGACCTGCGGCCGTATGTTTTGGACACCTGAGTGAAGAGAGGAGCGGAGCTGTCAACTGATCACCATCTGGTGGAGAGTTGGATCAGATGGCAGGGGAAGATGCCGCGTAGACCTGGCAGACCCAAGCACATAGTGAGGGTCTGCTGGGAATGCTTGGCAGAAGAACCTGTCAAGACGGTCTTCAACTCCCACCTCCGGCAGAGCTTTGACCGCGTCCCGAGAGCAGTGGGGGACATCGACTCCGAGTGGGCCTTGTTCCACTCTGCAATTGTTGAGGCGGCTGTTGCTAGCTGTGGTCGCAAGGTGGCCGGTGCCAGTCATGGTGGCAACTCCTGTATCGGCGCCAAAGAGGTTCTGGCAAACTGTCCGGCGCCTCAGGAGAGGGAGGCAGCAACTCGCTCTCACTGTTTACAGTGGGGATGGGGAGCTGCTGACGTCCACTGGGCCTATAGTCGGGCGGTGGACAGAATACTTTGAGGAGCTCCTCAATCCCACCTACGCACATTCCGAGGAGGAGCCAGAGTCGGGAGACCTGGGGATGGACTTTCCTATCTCTGGGGCAGAAGTTGCTGAGGTAGTCAGACAACTACACAGCGGCGGAGCCCGGAGGTGGATGAGATTCGTCCTGGGTATCTCAAGGCTATGGATGTTGTAGGGCTGTCATGGTTGACACGTTTCTGCAACATTGCGTGGTCATCGGGAGCAGTTCCTTTGAAGTGGCAGACCAGGGTGGTGGTCCCCATCTTTAAGAAGGGTGACCGGAGGATGTGTCCCAACTATAAGGGGATCACACTCCTCAGCCTCCCTGGAAAGGTCTACTCCAAGGTACTGGAGAGGATGGTCCGATTGATAGTTGAATCTCAGATTGAGGAGGAGCAATGTGGTTTTCGTCCTGGCCGTGGAACTGTTGACCAGCTCTATACCCTTGCAAGGGTGATGGAGGGGGCATGGGAGTTTGCCCAACCAATCCACATGTGTTTTGTGGATTTGGAGAAGGCTTGTGGCCGTGTCCCCAGGGGCACCCTGTGGGGGACGCTCCAGGAGTATTGGGTGGGTGGCCTTTTGTTAAGGGCCATTCAGTCCCTTTAACAGAGGAGTGTGAGTTTGGTCCACACAGCCGGTAGTAAGTCGGACCTGTTCCCGGTGAGGGTTGGACTCCGCCAGGGCTGCCCTTTGTCACCGGTTCTGTTCCTAAACTTTATGGACATAATTTCTAGGAGCAGCTGTGGTATGGAGTGTGTCGAGTTTGGTGGCAGGAGAATCTCGTCTCTGCTTTTTGCGGATGATGTGGTCCTCCTAGCTTCATCCAGCTCTGACCTTCAGCTCTTGCTGGGTAGTTTCGTGGCCGAGTGTGAAGCAGCTGGGATGAGGATCAGCACCTCCAAATCTGAGACCATGGTTCTCAACTGGGAAAGGGTGGCTTGCCAACTCCGGGTCGGGAGAGAGGTCCTACCTCAAGTGGAGGAGTTTAAGTATCTTGGGCTCTTGTTCACGAGTAAGGGTAGGAGGGATCTGGAGATTGACAGGCAGATTGGTTCGGCATCTGCAGTGATGTGGACACTGAGCCGATCTGTCGTGGTGAAGAGGGAGCTGAGCCAGAAAGCCAGGCTCTCGATTTACCGGTCGATCTACGTCCCAATCCTCACCTATGGTCATGAGCTTTGGGTAATGACCGAAAGAACGAGATTGCGAATACAAGCGGCCAAAATGAGCTTCCTCCGTAGGGTGGCCGGGCTCAGCCTTAGAGATAGGGGAGGAGCTCGGACATTCGGGAGGGACTCGGAGTAGAACCGCTGCTCCTCCGGATCAAAAGGAGTCAGTTAAGGTGGTTTGGGCATCTGGTCAGGATGCCTCCTAGACGCCTCCCTGGGGAGGTGTTTTGGGCATGTCCTGCCAGCAAGAGGCCCCCGGGTCGACCCAGGACACGTTGAAGAGGTTACATCTCCAATCTGGTCTGGGAACGCCTAGGGATCCTGCTGGAGGAACTGGTGGAGGTGGCTGGAGAGAGGACGGTCTGGAGCTCCCTAGTTGAGATGCTGCCCCCACGACCCGGACCCGGATAAGCGGAGGAAGACGACGAATGGTTTATACTCGAATTGGTCACTATCTGTGTTCTTTACTAGATATTAAAACAAGTGTTTTCCTGGTTTCAGATCACACCAGCAGCTGTTTGTTAATACATGGTAAAGTACCAAAGCTCCAAGATGAGGATTTCTTGGAGTTATTGGAGCAACAATAAAATTGCTGCTAGACAACATTTATTTAGAGGATCGTCAGTCAGATTAATGTTCACCTGAAATTTCAAGATTAAAAAAAGCATTTGAGAAAAATCTTTAAAGCAATCTGATTTTTTTTGGGTCTTGTATAAACGGTAATGACACCCTCTTGCATTGAGTGTTATTCTGAAAGATGAAAGGTGTAATATGTAAGTATGACATCCTGTGGTCAAATTTGTTACTGCAGCTCATTTTCTCTGTAAAGGGTCTTTTTAGCACATACTGACACAAGAAAATAATTTAAAAATATGAAAAAGTTGCATAATATGGCTTTAAACAAAACATTCTCACACCCTAAGCGTCGATAAATGACGCGGTGTGACCAAGCGTTTGTTTCCTACACGTAGGGAGCCCCTGTGCGTTGGGAAGCAATGTGCTGTGCCAGAGCGTTGACATCTGACGCCCGCGGTAAAATGGAGATTTCATCAACCTTTCACCTCTAACCTCTAGCGATTTAACCTTCCCCTCACCCCCATCCTGACCTTAACCCTGTATGTCAATCTTAATTTTCTTTTAAGTGTGTTTGAGAGGAACGATGAAATGCGAAACAAAGCTTTGCATGTGCAAGCTGGTTAAGGTTAAGATGGAGGTGAGGGGAAGGTTAAATAGCAAGAAGGTAAAGGTCACAATTTGGTCAAATGTCCATTTTACTGCGGGCTTCGGACAGTGCCTCCCGACACGCAGGGGCTCCCTACGCATCAGAAACAAATGCTTGGTCACACTGCGTCATTTTTCGACGCTTAGGGTGTGAGAATGTGTTGCTTTAAAGGAAGTAAAACGCTATGATTGACTCATTAATTTCAGACATACATTTCGCTGTAATATTGAGTTGTTTGTCAATGAAAAAGTAGCTTGAAATATTTTTGGAACCGACTATTTGCTTGCTGAACCAAATCTGACCGCAAGATGTCATTCTCACCTTATCCTTCAACATTGCACCTTTAAATAGTTGTCCAAAGGTAAATTCTCATTATTTTATACTACCATAAGATGCCAGTGGATACATCTCTTCTATTCTCACAACTAAACCCACATGCATAGTTGCACCAGTATTTACTTATGCCTGTCTCTCTTTTCCTTAAAGACCCGCAACGTCCCGGCTAATTTCAACGAGGCCAAGTACATTGCTTTTACTATGTACACCACCTGCATCATCTGGCTGGCGTTCGTACCAATCTACTTTGGTTCCAATTATAAAATCATTACTATGTGCTTCAGCGTCAGCCTCAGTGCCACTGTGGCTTTGTGCTGCATGTTTGTACCCAAGGTAAGACAAACTAAAATCCACTTTCTCTTTTACTGAGGTCTCTGCTCTATTCTTCATTTTGGGTATTCCAATTATGATTTTTGTATTGTCTCTAATACTGATCCAAAGTATTTATGCTAAAATAAATACATTTTTAAATATCTTTTATAGTAGAGTTGGGAACACACCATACGTGCATTAAAGTCTTGCTAAAATCTTCACTATAACACAGAGTATTTTAATATTAGCTAGGTAAAAGTGAGACAAAACTCATCTTCCTTTAACTGCTGATCTCCTTGAAATTAACATTGTTGGATGAAAAATGGCTCAGCAAAAAGATGGTGCCATATTTTGCCTGACTGCTGTAAAACATAAAAATGTAGGTCAACAATAGAGATCAACAGCTGAGTCTGAAAAGGTTAATCCACTTACCCAGCCTTTCCACTAGATGCGTAAGTGGCACATAAAGTAATAACGCGTTTTACCCGTAAGATCTCTTCCCACCGGGAGCGTTTCAGATGCTAATGGCAGCGAATGCGTTACATGCACGCAGCTGGTCCCGCAAAGTCACAAAATCATGGGAGAACTACAAAACCACTCATTAAGTGGAGTACACAATAACAAGCAAAGAGAAAGAGAGCAGCGTTTATCCAAAAACGTCTGAGGTTTTTTTTCTGTTCTGTTTACCTCAGCTACGGAGGCCTCACAGGGAATTACGTTTTTTTACTAGTTAAGCAATTGGAAATCTGCATGTGATTTGTATTTTGAAAGTTTCCAGATGGTTTACACTGCATTTGTGACTGGCTTCCCGTCTGGCCCGATCTGAACTAGAGTTTGATGCGTTGGTGAAGTGTAGGGCATCAAAAATAGAGTCAAAAAGTATAAGCAAGGCATCCCTACGCTTCTGGAACACTTCTAAAATGTTATGCTTTGCGGCCGGTGGAAACATACCCATTCCCTCTAATGACTATCATTACTGTGTACTACTTTTTGCTGATGTTACACAACACTTACACATCCATGGAAAGGCCAAGTTAGTCATTGGTCAACAAAAATGTTGTGATGAAAACCCCAATAGCGAACCTAAGTCACGCCCATCTACTTCAGGGCCGCTCGTCCCCGGAAATAAGAAAAAAATTAATGCAAGTCAGTGGGGATAAAAATACAATGTTCTAATCCTATTTGATAAGTAACATGGATTTCACATATGATGTCTGTGAATTTTAAAGACACATTCTGATGCCAAGAAATCGCTTATATTTGAACGAGGGCAAAAGTTATTGTAGGTTTTCTGTAAAATTCGTCCAGGACTACAAATGCGCATCACCAAATTAACGTCATTGAACCAGACATGGAGTAAAGCAGAAGAAAATGGCTGTAAGTTCAGCAAACTTCAAATTCTTCCCTCAGGAGGAAAGAACCAACATAAATGTTGCCCTGTGGTAAGTAGCAGCTAGGCTAGGGCAGAGGTGACGCCATATTTGTGACGTGCCAATGTCTGATTTGTAGTCATGTAATTATGAATTTTTACAAGCTCAAAGTACGATTAGGAATTAATAGTTTAGAAAATAATTTTTATAGCTCCTGTCAGGGACTTGCACAAACCAGCCAGAGAAGCACTGCTCATGAGATTCAAAACACCATTTTATTTTGGAGCAGCTTCAAAGTTAAAGGAACTTTAACCTAATCACCACACAAGACACTATCCAGAAAACGAAAGACATTTCAGACACACCAGGTTCAATTTAAATAGTGGCTGATCAGACCACTCTACATACAAGAGGGGAAAAATTAACATACAATTAACACACATCCTCACACTCACACACACACACACACACACACACACACACACACACACACACACACACACACACACACACACACACACACACACACACACACACACACACACACACACACACACACACTAACCAGTCTAATCAATTCAGGTAACTCAAATAACTAAATCATAATTACAAACTTCCTATCATAACAGAAAACATCTACATTAAATTAAACACAAGCATAAACATGAATCTCCCCTCCCTTGGGAGTTGGTAGATCCCAGGAGTGCCGATTAGGCTTCCTGAGGAGATGAGCTGCAGGTGTGAGACTCCATGGGAAACTCCAAGTCACTGGTAACTCAAAATAGAAGTACAAAATTAACACATGCATTCATAAACAGAAGACTGATTGTGTGCACATCAACCAGTCATCCTGGACAGAGCACAGAAAACACTACCAGCAGACCATGTCCATGAGGTGACAGACACTGCTGTCACAGCTCCACTCACTTGCATTCATTTTCCCATTCTTCCGGGGACCCATGAGCCGACCAGAAGGGGAGGAGGCTCCCTATACGATAATTCAGATTAGATCAGTACTTGTTCATTTATTGGTTCAGATGGGAAAATTGTCCAATTCTGAAACATTTTTTAGAATTGAAATTCATACCTTCAGTTCTGATAAACATCAGCATGTTATGTTTATTTCAGCTTCTACGCAGCGGCAGGCCTCTCATGTTTAATAATATCAGTACTTGTAATTTGAGAGTGTAGGTTTTTGAATTAAGCCGGATCTGATTTTAAACAGAAAATGGCTTCAGTCAGAACACATGGACTACCTCTTTCTTTCATGACCTGAATATTATTCTGTCATTTTGAGCACATGAACCACAAGTCTTCTCAGCACTTTTATATATATATATAAAAAGAAAAGTTTTGTTTGAACAAATGTCATTTAACTGAATCAGACTGTGATGTCCATGTATGCTTTGTCTGTTTTCTACCCAAAGTGTCACGTTTAAAGAGCATACCTTATGTTTTTATCTCACATCAGGTGTACATTATCCTGGCCAAACCAGAGCGTAATGTGCGCAGTGCCTTCACCACCAGCACAGTGGTGCGCATGCATGTGGGTGACGGCAAATCGTCTTCAGCTGCCAGCCGCTCTTCTAGCTTGGTTAACTTGTGGAAACGCAGAGGCTCTACTGCAGAGACGCTCAGGTATACATCTGTGTGTGAGTCCCTGGGAGGCTTGTAGCCCGTACTAATGCCAAGTTACTCATCAGCTACAGTCCAAGGCCATTTTCTGTAATGGCCCTACTTAAGAAGGCAGCTATGCTGTGTGTGTGTGTGTGTGTGTGTGTGTGTGTTCTGAGAAACTGATTCTCTGTATTCCCTTGAATCTCCTGACCCCAACATTAACTGCAAAGAATTGCCTAATGGAGACATGACAAAGAGAGAGAGAGAGAGAGAGAGAGAGAGAGAGAGAGAGAGAGAGAGAGAGAGAGAGAGAGAGAGAGAGAGAGAGAGAGAGAGAGAGAGAGAGAGAGAGAGAGAGAGAGAGAGAGAGAGAGAGAGAGAGAGAGAGAGAGAGAGAGAGAGAGAGAGAGAGAGAGAGAGAGAGAGAGAGAGAGAGAGAGAGAGAGAGAGAGAGAGAGAGAGAGAGAGAGAGAGAGAGAGAGAGAGAGAGAGAGAGAGAGAGAGAGAGAGAGAGAGAAGAGAGAGAGAGAGAGAGAGAAGGGTATGGTGGATGGACGGGGTGAAGACAGGAATAAAGAGGGAAACAATGAATGGAGACAGAGCTGAAGAGCCGAGGTGATGTCTACTAAAAAGATGACAAAAGAGGTGCTGTGAACCCCTCTTTTGCTGCCATCCACTGTTATCTACAGCGACAAGGAGCCGATCAAAGGACTGACTCAGAGAGAAAAGACAGAAACATATTTTCATTTGTCAGCAGGTTACTCCAGCTCACCCTGCTTTGCAAGCAAGATTTCAATTACACACTCCTAAAAAAATGGCAGGAGTGTTTCAGTCTTTGTTCCCCCATTCCTGCCTTCCCTGCTCTGTCTCTTTTGGTCCTGTCGTCCTCTGCAGGTGGTGGTAATTGGCAGGGCTGTCTGTCTCCTCAATGACGGGCTGGAAGCTGTTGCGTTAGAGATGCTGTCATTGTCAGTGTAGACTGAACAGGCATGGAGGGAGATAAATCAGTCGAGCTGGAGGGAAAAGAAACTTTTGAAGTAATAAAATGTTTGACTGATGTTTGAATCAAGTGTTTGAAATACTGAAAAAACACTTCCATCTGGCAGTGAAATCGTTCTCAGAGCTGAACAGAAAGAAAATCAGTAAAGGCTTGAGTTAGTATGTGTGACACGTGTCTCCACAGGTTCTGATGAGGGGACAAAGAGATCACAGCCCATCCTGTGTGTAGGTGCAAATTAGCATATGGATGTGTGGGTGTGTCGATCTCCAGGGCAATTTCAGTCCGTCTCACAATCAGGACGCCCGCTATAGATTAATCCCTCTAATTACCCCGACAAAAGGACGGAGGGGCAGCGAGGGACAGAGCTGTGGCTGAGGTGGAGCAGGCCAAAACTTTGAAGATGAAACATTAAAAGAATAATAATGTGACAAAGAAAATGAAAGTCAGATTTTGTGAGATAAAGAAGGAAAGTGATTCAAACCTGTTTGATTCCTCAAGACTCATTTCAGTCATACATGTATTTTCTTATGCTTATCCAAGAGAGCTTCAGGAGGAAAGCCCATACGTTCCCTTAGAAAACCCTGGGTGAGCTCAAGGAACTCTCAGACCAGAGAAGGAATACAATCTCTACAGTGGGTTCTGGGTCTGCCCTGGGATCGCTTCCCCCAGGGAAAACTTACAGGGAAGTAACCAGGAGGCTTTCTAATCAGATGCCCTCACTACCTCCCCCCCGGATGCCAGGGCTCATTTAAGCCACTTGGATCTGGGATCTTGTTCTGTCAGTCATGGTCCAAATCCCATGACAAGACACGAGTGTGAGAACGTAGCGAATCAAGAACTTTGCCTATTGATCCATCTTCACCAAGACTCTTGAACCCCTCCACTGAATAATTTACAACCTTGAGGGACTGTTCCAATTTTTTCTGGTTGAGATTTGAAGGAGCTGACTCTCATCCTAGCCACTTCTCTCCACCTTATGCACACTGAAGGTTGTGGTTTGAAGATGCAAAACAAAACCACATAATCTGATTGACTCTAGCTAAATGCTTTAATTAAATTAGTGTCATTACTTTTCGGACTTTTATCCAACTCTCTTACTTTTTGGTTCTTTGTTGCAGCTCCAACGGCAAGTCGGTCTCCTGGGCACAGACTGAGCGCAGCAGTTCCCGCGGCAACCACCTATGGCAGCGGCTGTCCTTCCATATCAAAAAGAAGGAGAACAATCAGACTGCTGTGATTAAACCCTTCTCCAAAACCTCTGAGGAGCGATACTGCAGCGGAGCTGACTTACCACCACACGTCCCCCTGCCGTCCCTCTCCTCCATGTCGTCCCTGCCCACTCACATGGACAGCACCACAGATAAGACTCTGTATGAACTCTCAGAAGCAGAAGAGCACTACTCGGTCACGTACCAGCCGCAGACGCCTTCACCAATCAGCACGGTCAGCCAGAGAATAGGAGTAAGTTTGGGGGAGGAGTCTCAGATGGCGGCTGTTCCACAATATTCCAGCAGCATCTGCAGCGGTGGTAGCGTCGCCAGCAGTTGTGGACCCCCCAGCAGCGGTTCTGTGGTGACCGGAAGTGACGGCCGTCTGGTTATCATGGATGACCACCCCACACAGCCGCAGAGTTCGCTGATGGATCAGATCAGCTGTGTGGTAAACCGCTTCACTGCCAACATCTCAGAGCTTAAACAGCATGATGCTGTCCACCTCTCCATCACACTCACACAAACACACCCCTCCCTCTCCTCACCCCACTGACCCTTACCTGTTGCCTCGTGAGATCCCGATGCCCCCGACCCTCACCACCTTCGCTGACGTCCAGCCTATCCCCCACATGGAGACCAACCTGGCAAGCCGTGGCGGCTGTCCCATCCACCCAAGTCCTCGTTCACCTTACCCCCTGCCGCCCCCCTCACCCCCACACCTCCCCATCTCTCTCCCCCATGCGAGGAAACTTGGCCACCTGCCTCACCGACTCCCCACTGATCAGGGCAGAACTGGAGGAAGAGCTCATCGCTCTAACTCCCCCGTCACCCTTCCGTGACTCCCTGGCATCCAGCAGTAGTTCCACCTCAGAGATGGGTTTTTTTGTTCCTCCTGTCCCATCCCATCCTCCTCCCTCTCCCCCGTCACCCAGGTACACCAAACTGACTCTCAGAAACTACAGTCAGAGTTCATCCTCACTGTGAGGCAGAGGAAATGAGCCAAGCGGAGCGCAAAGAGAACAGAACAGACTGAAATCCATTCATCGTCGTTTGGAGTCAAAGTAGACGTAGAGGGCTGATTGGTGAAGACACCAAGCTGTTTTTGTGTTTACATGTTTACAGTGAGATGCAAGCAGAAGACGCTTGCCAGTGTCGTATTTTCTTGCCCTCTCTCACAAGAGAGGATGAAAGATGGTGGCCATGGCTCTGGGAACAGAGACCATTCCTGACAGCTTAAGTCTCTGGCATGAATTAGGTTGAACTAGTGGCCTTAAGGTAACCCAGCTGTCAACTAATTAGAGATGTGCGAGCAGTGAAGGGCATGAGTGTATTTCTGAAAGTGATGGGAATCATGACAGTGGGGAGTATAAATAAGAGAGGACTCCTATAGCCTGTGAGCACTACACACAAGCTAAGAAGGGCACATGTGGTATAAATTTGCTCACAGACGCACACACAACACTGACATGTGAGCACACCCATTCAAAGACGGTGTGTGTGTGTGTGTGGGGGGGGGGGGGGTGGGGGGGTGGGGGGGGGGTCTTCAAGAGTTCCAGACTAAAGTGTTCTGTGAAGACAGTGTTAGCATTTTAAAGCAGTATGTTTCTCTAAAATGTGCTCAGCTTTCCCATCATACAGCTCACCCGTCTTTCTCATTCCTTTCCAACATTTTCTACTCTTGCTGTGAATTTCTTCTGATGTTTGAATGTATATTTTCTACATCTTTTCCTGAAAGTGTTGGGACCAAACTATTTTGTAGCTTTCTGTCTATATTTGGAAAAAGGGGGAGAATCGGAGCTGATGAGGCCAGGCCTTGTAGTACCATAAGCATTTTAGTATTTTAAGTCTCACTCAGGTGGGTCGTCTCGGGAGGTTATCATTACTGTGTGACATTTAACAGTGTATTTTGTAAGGCTTAGCTGGATTCCAGTCATGACATTTTCTTAATACGATGTGTTAGCAGGACGTAGCGGCCCTGTTTGATCAAAAACGGTGATTCGAATGGGATTAATTGGAGTGAAAGTCATTTCGAATGGTAAATGGTTCAGACTCTTTTAGTTCAAGCTGGGAGAGGCTCTTCTTCAGCCTTTCTGAAGGTCATCGGTTGGACAGTTTCCGTTTTCAACGAAAGAACACAATTCAACAAAAAAATAAATTATATATATATATATATATATATATATATATATATATATATATATATATATATATATATATATATATATATATAATTGAATTTTTATTAGAAATAGAAATAACAGCAGCTCACTTTTAATATCAATTTGTCCAAAACAAAGACAGACAACCAGAATCAAAGTGTTTAGGATGATGACTCATCTGATGACTCAAGGGAACACTGACATGAAAATCACATCCCAACCAAGAGTGGACTGGGACGAAATTTCGGCATTTCAGCCCTGGGGCGCTGCTTGTGGAAATTTGTCCGGACCGGCCCCCTACTGGGTAAACGGCCCACTGGGACATGCCCGATATAGCAGATGACCAGTCCACCGCTGATCCCAACTTTACTGAATTATTCCATGCTTTGAGAATGTTTGCCTTCTTGCTGAGAGTTAGATGAGAACAAAAGTAGAATTTTAGTCATTTTTTCACTTTCTTGACTTTTCTTAGACACTATTTTGTCCACTAGTTTTAGTGCAAATTAATGTATGCCACAGAAAACTGGTGCTTGATAGCAAATGAAAGTATGGTGGATAATATAACTCTGAAAGGTTTTTCTATAAATTCTAAATGTTCCATACAATAGAATATTTTTTATCATTATCAGTAATACATTTAATAGTTTTTATTTTATTTTTTTACTTGTGTCAAGTAACTTTAAAGGTCTACTGGCACATTAGCACAATGATTATGGAAAACTGATTTTAAAACCCCTCTACCTTAAGCTCATAAATGAGGAAAAAAACAAGACTGTGCCATAGAATTGTGGTTGGTGTTTGTGTGTGTGTGTGTGTGTGTGTGTGTGTGTGTGTGTGTGTGTGTGTGTGTGTGTGTGTGTGTGTGCAGCAGAACTAATTAAATCTTTTACAAAAGATAACCAAAAAATCTTTTAGCTTCGTATAGAGGTAAAACCATCTATAGTAAAGGTGTTGTAGATGTAAAAATGTCGCTAATGGGGACAATCAACACCACTCTCACATCCAACATATAGTTTCTCGTTGCCTTGCGGGCTCATGTAATTATAAAAAAACAATGTTGTGATTTAATAACTTTTTTATTGGTTGAACAGGTTGTAACTGATAGTGAATTAGCTTTTTGCTACGCTAACCAAGTGGTGGAAGAGTCTTTATATTGACTGGGCAAGAGTGAAGCCACTATTCTCACCTTGCTCTCAGCAAGAAACTCTCTGCTCATTTTTGAGTTGTATAGTATTTGCTTTGAGGTCAAGTTGTTACAGGTTTTGTGTCACATACTGGATCGGAAAAATGAGAGAGGCGATGCTGGAGGTGGTCGAGTATATTTAACAGATTTCTTTGTAGGAGGTAGACCAAGACTTGACCGGCTCATGTTGAGAAGTGATTTAGTAACTGTCAGATAAGAATGATGGCAGCATATTAGGATCAGTTAGATGGAAGAAAAAAAAGAAAATATGTTGGGAAAAAAAATTAAGTCAGAAGTACACTGTTTGAATATTTCAAGAAAGCGAACCCCATTGTGTTCTTGAAACAGACACAGAGATTGTTCGGTTTTGTTTATTCATGGTTAGACGAGCTTCTTCTACAGTACTTAATTGGCGGTGTATTGCGAACTGACCCATTTACTGATTTTTGTTGCTATGAATACCGTACGTCACTTTGCTCTGATTGATGCTAGTTCTGTCCAATTGCATGCAGAGACAGACTAAAGCCTGATTAATACTTCTCCATGAGCTCCGTGAGGGAGAGACGCACATTCATTGACATAGACATTTTACCTTTGGGCTTCTCCGTCACCTGAGGAGTGGCGCAATGATGGTGCTGGTGACGGATTTAAAGGAAGCAGCGTCCTGACCAATCACAAGCTTACGGTCTCCGCAACTTTTAACAGATAGTTAAAGACCCTGTGGGCCTGACACAAAATGGCGTTGCGTGTCTCTGCATCCACACAGATGGAGAAGCATGATTCAACGTTTAATCAAAAATGGCACCTTTTTACAGCCTGATTTCTATTTCACACAGCAACAATATAACTGATCCTAGTCAAAATAGTATTCTTACTTGTCATAATTGAAATTAAAGATATAAACAGCTATTTTGTTACTAATACAAATACTTTTTACGGCCATGTTAACAGCTGCATTAACAGGAATTACGTCAGAGAAATCCTAAATCCTTAAAAAGCTAATAGGTGGCCATTTTCACATTTAGTAGGCAGACTGGATATTTTCTCCTGACATCTATAAATCTATTTAACATTTCAGAGGAGCAGCAGATTAAAGTTAACTTCTTAGAATGATTTAAAAGATAATCTACATCAGTTTTAGGTTGTAAATATGACCGATTCATCCTGGTTTTTAATGTTGCACCAGGTTGTGACACTGATACAGCAGGTACCATATTCTCTGTGTTGCTGCTGATCACAGCTGGCCACTGAGTGACAGACTATAGAAGAAAAATCAACAGCTTTATGTTTATTTTTTTAATTTAATATTATTTTGATGGAAACTTTGTGGATTTTATTATATCCACTTCATGTAACTTGGTCAATTTTAATTTTACATTTTATTTTTAGACGGTGTTCTCTCCTTATTCTTAAAGGCTCCAGACACGTTTATTGAAAGATCAAGTTCATCCATTTTTTCAACACCTGCAGTGGTCTCTGGTGTAAATGGATGCCTTGAGAGTTAATCTCTTTGGGGAAAAACTCTGGCACTCCTGTTTCAGGAACTAGAAGTTATTTGGAGGAGAATGGAGCAGAAAATTAATAACAGTAAATATTTTGACGTCTCGCCTCTGATCAGCTGGTTTCTCAGTAATCTTGCTCATGATGGAGGCCCATCATGCAAGTTTCAAAACAGCAAGAGACATCCATTTTTTTCATGTACCCCAAAAAACTACTCTCTGAAATGTTACTGTTTAATGCCCTCTCCAGCAATATAATGGGATTTCTGCCCGTTTGTACCAGTGATTCTTTTGTATTCCCTAAATAACAACTTTCTTCTTATTTTGACTTTCTTCTCAAGTTAATTCTAGAAATATTTTCCTTTTTTTTTTCTAAGTGGCTCTAATATGCTGTCTTAAAACCTCAAAGTGGGATTTCTATCAATGTAAAAGCTGGGTATGCCTTTAAATTGAATGTATTTACACTGCAACGACGAATGAGGATGCTCCACAGATAGGAGGTCGCCCTGGCTTTGCCCCATTAGCTATATAGAAAAACACAAAAATAAAAAGTGTATATTAACATTTGTTATATGACTCACATTTAAATCAAACTAAATGAGCATTACCCCAGGGAAGAAATCAGCGTTTCAGACTGTGACCTCTTTACCATCATCTTCTCCATATTTTCTGCAGCTTTTTTTCTGCAGATTCGGTTCATAGTCTGACTTTTGTTTAGCATTTGCGCTTCACCGTAGCCAGCAAGAACAAACTCAGACAAAGCGATTCTGTAAATATTAAGGGCATGCAAAGGCAGTTTTGTTTTGTTTCAGATGAAAGTCGATTTATTTACATAACAAAGCTGAAAAAAGACAAAAAATCTGTTTTTAACTATAACTTACAGTACCAATATGTGTTACGACTAGAGAAACTGTGTTACTGCGCTGGACGTGTGAGTGGCCAATCTTATTCAGATGTCTTGTTATTCAACAATATAATAATAATTGCTATTAATATGATTATTGTGCCAAAGGGGTGAGGGATGTCTAGTTTACTACAGGTTGTGTGTAAATATGTGATTTCATTAAAAAAAGAAAAAGCTAGAAAATGTAAATGTAAATTGTTTATATTGTTTTGGAAAATTTATAGATGCATATTTCACATTTTTGTGTAAAAGCAATATTATCTGTATGTATACAAGGTGCACATCTGGGTTTCCTAAATCATCAAACATGTCACTCTTATCGCTTCACAAGAGGATGATTTAAGACTGATGATGGGTAGATAGGTGAAGATGTTTTCTTCTTTTAGGTGTTTTTTTGTTTGAATCTTTATTTATAGAAATATCTTTCTCCCTTTAAACCTGTAATTCCATCAATTTTGAGTGATGTGAGCTCGGCTTTATCTCTGAAACCCTTAGAGGATACGACTTTTACTACCCAAGAGCATAAAATCTGCTTTTTTGCTTCATTTTATTTACTCATAAACATGGAATTCAGAAAAATGTAAACCAAATTAATGAACTTGGGGGATAAACAAGCTCTGAAACAGATTGAGATAGATTTCAAATGGCTCTACAGGTCTTTCAGAGCATCACTTCCACGTTGACTCAGCTAATTCTGAAAATCTGTGAGTCGCTGTCGGGAAGTGACCTGCATTCTGGTTGAGGTGTTATTGG